ATGCACTAACAGCTAGAGGCTGATTTTTGGTAAGGGGGCTTTTTTCAACTTGTTCTTTCTGAATATGCCATCCAATCCGCAATTTCACAAATTTGACTGTGTGACGTCACTCTTCTCTTCTCTACTCATCTCGAAAGTCAAATTAAAGTGTTTTGCAACTGTCTTTGCCACTAAATACAGGTAAAGACAAAACACGGACTCACTGGAACCTGTGACCCTCATCGGGTGAATGACTTCTACCAGGAGCCAATAATCCGGAGCGAGCAACTGCAAAGCTAGGCACATGTCAGGGGGTTTTTACGGACCAGTTTACTTTTAGACACATATGGGGCACTTTTTCCTGCGAAAATAGAATCCCCACCAAGAATAAGGCCCGTTTCAAACGTCGTGCTACTGCCGTGCCCAACTCAGTTGATCGAACTAAATTCGACTTTAGCACGGCAGTAGCGTGACGTCTGAAACTAAGCCGTGCTACTGCCGTGTAGCACAGCAAGCCTTGCCGTGCTACACGGCAGTAGCTCGACTTGGTTTCAAACGTCGTGCTACCGCCGTGCCGAACTCAATTCATAAATTAATATATAGATTTAGCCAGGGCTAAAAGCGAAGCTCCAATTGTAATAAATTTATAATTTAAATCAAACAACAAACTTTTAATCCACAAATCATTCAACTTAAGGGCACATTCATGTGACTTTTGAGGGAAAGGCTAAGTTATTTTAGAGTGAAACATCTTACATCGAATTGATAACCTTATATGTGCACCCAAAAAATAGCAAACATCTTCGATCACATTCAAGATCACAGTAGATTAGGCCTCGAAAACAAATTCTTGGAAAACAAATCACGCCAAATTTTTTTGCGTTCGACAGGTTTACTTTACAAATTCTTGCCAACAAATCTGGGGGTGTTTAAACCAACCTTTTATAATTTTTATACACCACATTTGAGGTGAAACAGTACTATTTATCATACAGAGCTCGGACAGAATGCGGTATTTCACAATTTTTCAAGACAAATTGCACTCCGTCAATATTCAGGACGAGCCAAACCGTTCAAAAATTTCAGAAAATTTCCAAAATCACCCAGACAGCCAGCTGGTTCTCGTTTCTATAGTGCGAGCTGTCGGTGTGGTCGAGTGTTTGAATGAACTTTAACAGAGTTACGCTTCAACATAATAGCGAATTTATTATTATTTGTTTTGTTATTTAATGGTTTCCGTTATAACGATGTGTAATCTTATAAAGCGTTTGATACGCGCGACATTTTTGAGTACTCCTGCATGCGATGGTCATGAACGATGAAAACAAACGGCACGGACAAGCGATTAAAATTGCAAGAGAGACTACTAACAATCAAAAAAAGAGATATAATTCCGTGAAACATTTACAGAGACAAGAATTTTCATTCATGAAGACAAGTATTAAAGTGTCTCTAAAAATCCTGAGTCTTTCAGCGTAAAGCTTAAGTTTATGTTTTAGCCGGCTTCCCAGCGCGGTGTTTACTGTTTTCGAAGGTGAACTCCTCGAAGCAAGAAAATCGCTCAAAGTTTTCTTTCTACAGCCAAATTTATAACTAAATATCCTCCGGAACGTTTTCTTTCTATTTGTGGTGAGCAAATATATCTGAAGGCTTTTTAAAGTTCTGTAAGCTTATATGAAACCTGCTACTAGGTCAGATCATTGACTCAAATCCTGCAAACGTGCATAAACTTAACGCAGGCGGTGTGCGTCACGAGATTTAACCAATCAGAATGCGTTATTTTCGGAGTAGATTTCGTGCTCGAGAAGAGCAGTTTTGAGAGGTACACGAGTTGAGATTTTCGTCGTTTTTGAAGATTGTAATCATTTTTTCTTAATCAAAATTCGCTATAAAGTTAGCGAATTAATTTATCTTAGTGCTGGTGCAGTTATTTTTTAAGAAGAAACGTTTATTCGGCTTTGCGACCATTTCAAAGGTGACGGTCTCGTGTGAGACGCCATGTTGTTTTGGTTGTAAATTTCACTGCTTTTCTTGGACTTGTAGCTCCTTACTGTTATTGATTGTTGTCAATATTTTCGGTCCGTTAGTGAGTTTAAGTAGTCTTCTTTGACAATTTCGGGGTCTACCTGGGTCTACCCCGTCGGGTTTTCCCGCTAGAGGCCGTGGAGGACACACTGGTATGAAGAGATCGACCCAGCCAAGTGGCTCCACTCCCGGGAAACCGGCTGGTAAAGTCAACAGAACTGGAGGTCAAAATAACATCAAATCGAGAAAGAATTTGTTTAATTTCAAGCCAGAAAAGGTAAAAAGAGTCGAATTACACGAATTCCTTCTGATTTTGTATTTGAGTCAGTTAAATGGTCTTTTATAAGATACTTATTTGTCATTATTGAAGAATGTTTTTCACGTGTGAATAAATTATACATGTACAAATGTAGCCTCCAACAAGAGATTGGCCAGTATCCATAGATTGTGGATTAGAATCCATTATTTCTTGTAGTTTTACTCAGATAACATTAGCAGTAATTTTATGTTTTCACACTCGCACTGTGATGAAATGAAACATTTGACAAAATTTTAAAAAAAAAAAATCATAAAATAAAGTGTGGCTTTAGAGATGTTACACCAGCCACCTCCACCACAGGGTTTATCAAGGATGTCTTTTTGTTTGTGTGTTTATATGTAGGTTTACTTATGTTACCATTTATTTAATATCTTCAAGGTCCCTCATCCACCTCAGTCCCCAGTTTGGTCTGTGGAGGAAAGGCGAGCATTGGTTGAGTATATTGCTCTATTTACCCCAGTGGAACAAGATCAATTGTTTAAATGGCCTTCTTTCAAAGACATCAATTTCTGGGAAAAATGTGCAGATGCTCTGGCCTGTACAACTGGAATGCCACGACGATCAGGTAAACATATTTCACTCCAGGCCGTAGTAGGGCATAATTTTTGGTCGGCAGGATAATAATTATATGCAAGAGGTTTGTCCCCTAGTGGCGGTGGTGATAATGATGATGATATTGATGATGTCTGGGTTGTTTGCTCTTAGTCATTCAAAACATCAGCTTTTGAATACATTGATAGTGTGCGATCTCCCACACAACTCAACTAGTTATTTTATACAATGTAATAACTCTGTAATGAAGAGATTATAACATAGTGGAGCAGGCCTGATAGTGGTTTGTCTTAAAAATAGGGTGGAGGGAAGGTAGCAGTTGCTGAAGGTTTTAGTTCAAAAGGAACTTACAGTGGCTTACAGTAAGTGAGGTGAAACAAACCGATTTATATTTTCTTTTCTTTTTCAGGGAGTGCATGCCGTTATCAGGTCAACTCCTTCCTGCGTAAAAGGTATGCAACACTGGAGGAAGCAGAAGATGACCTCCAGGTCAACTATTTTAGTGGTGGATTGCAAGACATTCATTATGAAAATTCATCAACACTAACATCTCCTGGGAATGTAAATTCGACTCCACAGGCGATGCTTGAGAAGAACACCCCATTATCTCCAATATTGGCGCACTCTCCACATGCCAATTCAACAAACCATGAGACATACAATCATGGAGATACCATTGCCAAGGTTATTAAACTGTTGACATTGATGACTTCACGTATGAGAGGGGACTTGATCCAGAACTTATTTTGGCAGTTCATGTTTTTAGAACTTGATCATGATTTTCGAGCATTTATTCCTTCTGACTTTATTAAACTATGCTGCAAGGGCATTAATGTACTTCATAGCAATGGCAAAGAAAATGTTCTTTATTACTTGGCCAGGGACTTGGAATGTCACGGAAAGATGGTTCAGGTCCACGGCTCCCTATTGACAAGATGCCGTTTGGATTATTAAGCTACAATATTCGCTATTTTGCTATGGACACTGTGAACAACATTTCATCAGACCCCATTTTGTGGAGGGGGACAACTATGTTCTCCAACTTTGGTCATAAATGGATTTGCTTACAGAGGGACCAGGGTTTGCCTATGATGAGACTGTTGTTGATGATTCCTCAGCTGCAGCTTGTAATAGCACCAGCAACACAAACAGCAGTGAGCAAGGTTCCTCAAGTATCCTTCAACAAGCATGGAATGAAACATTTCAAGTGGGTACCCAGAATGGGGTACAAGATGAGGTTGAAGACCAAGATACCACTAGAGAGAAAGTTGGGGCAGATGACTGCCTTGATGTAGAAACCCTTGTTGACACAGATGACCCTCTTGAGGTTGGAGCCATTGTTCAGACAGGAGATGGGATTGAGGTTGAAACTGTTGTCGAGGCAGGAGACCCTCTTGAGGTTGGAACCATTGTTGAGGTAGGAGATGGGCTTGGGGTTGAAACAATTGTTGAGGCAGGATATGGGCTTGAGGTTGAAACCCTTGTTGAGGCAGAAGACGAGCTTGAGGTGAACGACCAGGTCAATGAAGAAGTGAGCTACCTTTGGGCACGACTTGGTTCTGAAGAAAAAGAACAAATTGCAAACGGCGATAGACCAATAGAACTGGAAACATTTCATGGTATTCGCCCACAGGCACATAAAAAGAAAAGGACAGAAGTGGATCCGATGAAAGCTAAAGTCAATGTTGCAGGTCATTCTGTAAGGACTCTTCAACGTCGTATACAGGCTGCTGAGTTTTCAAGAGACACAAATGTTCAGGTGAGTGCACATATGATTAAATAGATATGAAATATATTTGAAAAACATATATATATATATAATTATACTCCAAGAGCTAGGTTATTCGAACATTTACTGCAACTCTGAGTTTCATGCTTCTTGCGAAGCAATCTTCAGGCAACAAAAAAATGTAAATGTTCGAATAACCTAGCTCTTGGAGTATAATTATTCTTAGCTCTAGCTCTGCTATTGAGCACTTTATAGTAGATGAGGATTTCTTTCCACTTGTTATTCTTTTTTTCTTGCTAGGTCGCTGTTCTTAAGAAGATTAAAGAAAGAAACAAAAACGGACGTTGGTGGATTAAAGCAGATGCATGTGACCTGCGAAAGGGACTGCGTGAGTCAATGCGTCATGAGTGGGCAGGAGATTGTGACCTGGGAGATGGAAAGCTTCAAACTTTATATCAGGAATACATGGACAGAAAAACCTTCTATGGTGGATTAGGACTTAAGGATCAAGAGTAAGAATGAAAGAAGATATGGCGCTTGTGATTTCTGGTTTGGATAACGATTTAAGGTTTCTGGTTGGTGGAGAAAAGCTGCAAAAGACAAGTATGCAGCTAAACAACGTCAGTCAAATGCTTCTGAAGATGGCATGTTTGCATTGGCTTGGGAGTGTGAATGCTTCCAGACTCTCATTAACATTAACAAAGACCTAAAGTCTTCAATTTCCAGCCTGCACTTAAGAATTTCAACAAACCAGAGAGATGGTAATATTGCTGGTGATCTCACTTCTTTACGCCAAAGGCTTCTTTCCTATGCTAAGGATCTTTTTCCAAGCATAGAGAAGCTGCCTCTCATCTCATGGTGTTCATGATAGCCGATGAAAACGCGACATGAAGCCCTATGCTGTTCCTGTACGATTTATACCTTACCACAGTGTGACTGACAATAAACTGCGTGAACTGTGTATGGAGCTACGGAGTGCCATGGTAAATTTGGGAATGCTTGTGGTTGGTGAGTTAAGATTTTTCTTTAATTGTCTCTGTTAACTACCTTAAGTTTATACAACAGAAAGGGGCTGCTCTGCTGCTTAAAAGCCACCTTTCTCAGACCAGACTGGCATAGCGCTGAGTATATTGGTACTTTTAGAGTGCATAGAGCCTGTTGAATTTTTAAATAATTGTCATTTTTTTACTCAGCAACTGAATGGTGATTTGCATCTTCACCCGCCCCCCCCCCCCCCCACCTCCCAAAATTGTAATTTGAAATAAGCCAAACAACAATTTATTTATCTGATTTTTGTTTGTTTTAGGCACTGTCACAGATGGAGAATTTAACTCCATCCGCACTATGGGATCAAAAGAGCTATTTCCATAATTCAAGTGATGATGGATTCAAAGTCAGAGGCTAGAAGCACCAATGTTAATGCCATACGGAGGTATTTCACACCAGTTGCAGTCCCAGGTAACTTTTCTTTAACTGATGTTTTATCTATGCCAAAATCTGACCACTGGAAATTCTTCACTATCATATGTGTGTGTGTATGTGTGTGTGTGTTGTAGGTGGAAATGAAATTCAGGTTAAAATGATTTCAACCTAGATTGATTTGAATCTCCTTTGTTTCAAGAGGCAATTCGCATGTATTTTAAAACCTTAACTTTTCTTCCTAACAGGTGCCAATGGGACATTTTCTGTAAGAGGTCAGGCTCAACACCCAGCCATTCCGGTTGAGGACATTGTATGGCTTTATGACTTCATGAATGCTGATGGCAATCAAGTACCATTTGAAAGCGCCATCCACATTTTAAAACGGAAGCTGTTTCCTGCCAATTATGACCCTTATCCTTGGGATGCAAAAAGTATATGCTGTAGTTTGTAATATCTTTCTTGTTTTATGAGCACTATTACCCTCAAATGGTACGGCATGAAGTCCAACTACTAATTTAAAATTGCATATTAAATAACAAAATTTAAAAATGAAATTATTATTACATTAAATCTCTGCCTGTGCACGGGCTGTTATAGAGGATCAGTAGGGCCAGTTTATAGGCTACCCATGGCCTAAGGTGCCATGTACTGTCAATGTACCTTTCAGTTCTATTTATCATTTATTTTCAATTGTTTCTTTTCCTTTAAACAGTGGCTGAAGAGGATACCAAAGGTTGTCTTAAGTCTTTGATGGCAACATACTTGTTCCGCTACAAAATAAAACGAATGAAAGAAGAATTAAATGTGGACTTCAGCAAACACCTTTACCAGCCTGAATTGTGTGATGTCACTGGGGAATACATACATGAGAGAGAAGACCACAACCATGTTCTTAAACGTATCACTGAATGTCTTCGTGCAGGTGAAATCCCAGGGGTTGACACCCGCTACTTCAGAGATGCCCTGCATGATGCTCATTCAGGTTAATAACAATTATTTGTGTTGTGTGCGTAGTCTATTAAAGGCCCTTGTTCATCCAAAATGCAATGTGCGCCCAAGCTTATTTTTTGCACTGATGGAAAATCTAAAAATTAACGTTCCAGGCAATCATAATGCTACATTGAACAATTGAACCTGTTTTAAAACAAAAACACAAACACACACAGCAGATTGGGTGAACATGTACCTTTAATCATGATGTTTTGATAATAATGATTCATTTGACCCCCTCTGGGTTTAAATGAATTCTTGTATTCATACCTGTGTACTACAGGTATATTGATGACATAGAAAATGGCATTCTGACATTTCTTGCTTTGATTATTTTTTGATAGTTCGTGAAAGGGTTAATAGCCTTTTTTTTTCTTTTTTCATTATCCTTATATGAACTGATGTAATTCATTCTAATAATTACTATCCCTTTAACTCCCAAGGGTGCCAAAGAAAAAAAAAAAAATTCAAGAAAAATACCAGATTTCATTTTGTAAAATATTGAAAAACTAATGTTTCCGTAAAAAATGTACTGCTGAAGAGGTTTCATTTGAATGGTCACACCATACGATTTTGTCCACAGACTCAAAAGTTAGAACTAGTGCTTTACATGTCTCCATAATTATTGACTGTGGAAGTGAAAGGGTTAATATTATTAATGTTCTTGTCATGACCATGACAACAAAATTGCTTTGACCTACCACATGTACATTTTTTTTTCTTTTCACTGAAAATTTCTCCAAAATACAAAAGGAATTTGCTTACATACAAAATATGTAATTGAGCAGTATTTAAAAAGGAATATCAAAAGTTTTTGGAAGCCTCAGCAACGGCATTTTTTTTTTAAATACAGGTTTAACTTATGAGGCTTTAACTGGAAAACAGAAACAGTCAGTACCACATTGTGAACAGGTGTTTTCAAAGGGTGTACTGGAGTTCATGCAAAGGAATGGCCATACTTCAGAGGCACACTTTGTTGAAACTGTTCAAACTGGCATAAGGCGGCAGATGGACGGGGGACTATCAGAGGAAACACGGTCAAAGTATAACAATGACATGATCAATTTTCTGTTGACTGATTGGATGCCCTGGCATGAGTACGAAAGGGACTTTTCAACTATTGATGTCATGCGCCCTATAAAGGGTATTAAAGGTTTCACTAGAGAAATTGTGGTTGCTTTGATTGCGAACTGTGAAAGCCTTGAACTCCGTCGAGCAGAGTATCAAGAGAGAGGTTTGCCCCGAGCACCCACGCAAGCAGCACAGATGACGTTGAAGGCTTCATTGCACATCTCCATGATCAACTTGAGATGTGTTTGACCACAAGGAATTTTAGAACAGCAACCCAAAATTCTAAATGAGTTTACCAAGAAGATAGACCCAGAGCTTCAATTTTACTACTGGACAGGACACCGACATCGATTCACAACTGCCCCACTGCCTTCCTTCAATGATGCATCAGGTCAAACAGAAAGATTGGACAGGGTTAGGTTGTCAAGACGTTCTGATCCAGGGGTTTTGTGGCAAATAGGGCATCCTTGCCACAAAGAAATTCTCTGACAGTCAGGGCTTCATTTCACAGAGCACCAGAACAATTACCTCCACCACCAACAGTGTAGCATAAGTTTATTAACTTATAGTTTTGCATATTGATGTTAGCCTTAGTAAACTAAAATTGGGACAAAGATAATGCACTTTTCTAACTTATTTACATTTACACGTGTAAAGTTTTACTGGACTTTTCTTGAGGCCCTGACAACTTTGGAGCTCCAGGGTCCCTTTTTAGTGATATTTAAGGTTACATAAAAGCCAACTAACAAGTAGTTTACTCTAAAGCGAATGCGTGCAACAGTTACTTTGATGTTGTTTCTTTCAATGATAGGGTGTATGTCACTTGTTAACTCTTTGGCAATGTAACCAACTTTGTTCCAACCACTACCACAGTTTATTAATACGGCTATTGCATTTTGGTCATAATCATTTTCAGGCTCTGGTTGGAGCTGCGCTTGTACATCTTTGTTATTTTCCAAACACTCGTATGCATTTTTAAGGATAATTTGTCGTCCTTTATATGCAGTACCAAGTACTTTGAAAGGAACAGTATGCTCAATTTCTGAAGAATCGTTCTCCTCATTTGAATCATCAGAATCATCAGCATTAACAATTGAATGATCCTCCGGCTCTACTGGTTCAGACCGTCTAAATTCCCAAATGACCAAATATGTGATGTTTTCAACCACAATGTTACACCATTTTTGAGCAATGATTTCATCTCCACATTTTGTCCGTCCACTGTCATCAGCTTGAATAGCGCAGGCCACCCTGTCCTTCTACCAGTTATAGAAACAGTTCCTTTTACAAATTCTATCGTCAGAACAGGGAATGACGGAATAGTCCACTCAATGTTATCTTGTCCAAGACTTGAAACTGTTAATGCCAGGTCTCTAGGCTGCCACAAACCCTTCTACAGAAAAAAAATGGTTGTAATAAAAAGCATTCCTTATAGAGTACTAAAGTGATGACGTCATAAAAATGAAATTTCTGAAATTATGGGATTTGTCAGGATATTCTGAAAGAACAATGTCCAAGAGACCTACTTGCCAAAAATGAGCATTTTGGGGCAAATTGTCTCTGAGATCGTAGCCCAGTTATACTCAGAAAACTCCCTACAAACCCCTCTAATTTTTTCTTGGGTCGACCCAAAAATATTTAGAAGGGTTTGTATGGAATTTTGTAAGCATAACTAGGCTACGATCTCAGAGACAATTTGCCCCAAATGCTCATTTTTGGCAAGTAGGCCTCTTGGACATTGTTCTTTCAGAATACCCTGACAAATCCCATAATTTCAGAAATTTCATTTTTATGACGTCACACCTTAGTACTCTATTTCATGCTGTATAAGTATTAGTATAAATTATGTAACTAAGTGCACTGCATGTGAATAGCTGTGATGAGCAAGCTTGTTTAGTATATTTCAATTAATAATGGTGTCCTTAGTTATTTTTTGTCTTTCTTCAGTTCTTTTTGGATTAAAGGAATGAAGAAGGAAGCATTTTCTTGAGAATTAGTTATTTGTCACATTCATGTGGGATGAACTGAAAAAGGCCAATGTTATAGCACATTTTTATTCCACAATAGAAACTAAATGATTGTAAATAAGCCACTTCTAAAAACAACACATGGTCAAGAGTTTAGAAGGTCACTTGAGACTTCTCAGTATTTTATCTGTAATGTTTAAGTTAAAAGTTTTTCTGAATAAAAATAGTTTAAAGATGTGATGCATACTCCGCTTTATCAGTTAATAAAATAGAAAGAATAAATTAGTTGTTAGCATATAATTTACCTTGATGGGAAGTGCAAAGGTATTCCTGATAGTTGTGCTCTCCTGGGATCAACATTACCCACAGCAAGGTTAACTGCATACTCATTTGAGAGAAGGCTAATATGATATTAAGTAATCAACAAAACACAATAAATGGATTATTTTCTATCTTTGAAAAGCTAGTTTTTTAAAATGCATAAAATGATTTTCAAAAGACCGTGAAACAGTTACTAAGTTAGTAGGCACTAGTACACACTATTAGACATTAATTCCATGTTTTCTTTCTTTCATTGTTTTCATTGTTTTAGCTAATTTTGGCTAATTTTGATTAATTGCTAGATACTGTTTCACGGTCTCATGAAAATCACTCTAATGAAACTGTACAACAACTGACTATCTGATTTTACACAGTTTTCAGCACACCATCAATTCAAATCCAATTATTGTAAATTATTCCATGTGAATGCCATACAGCAAAAATTCTCAGGCTACTTTTTAAATACTTAATTTCGTTTATGAAAATATTTTTTAGAATAAGAAATTCTTTTAGAATAAGAAATTCTCTCGCCCAGACAATCATAGCAGATAAAAACAGTGAGCAAGAGCACTTATAGTGAGTAATTATAATTACTTAAATTGGATACATTCCACAAGGGTTCAGAAAAGCTTCCTTATCTGGTGTTTGTCCCCAAGGCGTAAGTGGCATGGTTTCTGCATTTATAGGATTAATCACTGTCTGGTGACGAAATATTGCCTTGGCCCTTTGAAATCCACTACTGTAGTCTGACGGGGCAAATCGATTTCTCTGTAAAACAGCTAAGAAATCTGTTTTTTTTTCTTTTGTCACGAGCTTGTGGGCAGTATGGATACCAATGCCACGTACATTTTCTAAGTAGTCACAACCTGCAACAATGCACATGTCCAGGAATTCTTCCTGTGTCAGTGACAAATGTTGCAACACCTTTCCTCTAACTCGATTACTTCACACACACCATCGAGTCGCAACTTGAACAAAACCTATAGATAGATAGGGAAATTAGGGGTGTTCAGGAAAACCCTTCCTTATTTTTATTCATGGTCTTTTGTGTTCAACGGAGAAAACCAAAGGTAATAGTAATAATAGTATATGCATTTATATTGCACAGGCTTCATGAGTATACCTGTATGATCGCCTGCGCAAAACATTGAGTTCATAAAAATAAAAATGTATACAATTTATAACTAATTCTAAGTGCTACTAATTTCAAATTGATACTTGTACAAATTAATAAAATTGTATAATCGAAAAAAAGAACCTAATGACAATAAAAAGAATAAGAAAATGATTAAAAATTACAGAAAGCCTCTAAATTTTTTTTTCAGTAAAACCTTTAAAGTGTTCAGAGATCTGCTGCTATTTGCAATTGGGTTCTAGTTTATGAAATTAATAGTTACGATATAAAAAGGACTAAAACTATAAGCTTATAGTTCATTCTGTTGAAAATCAAGTAAACACAGCCAGGCTTTGAATAAGCATTTGGATGATAAATTGTATGGGTTATTCAATGTACCTTTTGGCATCCATAAGCAAGAAGGTCGGAATCCTCTGAGATTGCAATATCTACATAGCCATGCTCATAAAGTAATGCTATCTCTGCATCAGCCTCGTACGGAGCTACCACATAATCAATAGACTTTTGTCGGCAAGTCTATAAATGAAAAGAATAAAAAATTATCTTAACGAGGTCATTCAATTTTTAATTAAAAACAATACAATATTTAATTATTAAGAAGTCTAGAAAAAAATGTATTTTAAGCTTACTGAAATGATAAACTTTATGCCAAAATTGAGACTTAGACTTACTTGAATAAACCCACAGACGAGATCGTGGTTAATTTCTGCAGCTGCAGCCAAAGCGTTTCTTGCCTCAGTCACCTTTCCACTGCGCCGAAGTTGGTCAGCTTTTTGCTGTTGTTGTTTTCTTTGCCTAAAGGAAGAAGATTTATGGGAGATCAATGTCTGCTGAAAAAAAATCATTTCTACTAAAGAAAATTAGACAAAAGGCTTAAATATTTGAACTGAGCTTCAACTGTCAATGCAAAAAAATTCTCTCACATTGCTCTGTTATCACGCTCTCTGTCCTTGCCCGGTAGCGGCAATCCGTCGAACACGACCAACGGTCGAATTTTATTCCTTTCCAGTAGATCCAGATAAGAATTGCAGATCTCCTTCACTCTAAGAAGTAAAAACATTAGTTAAAATGCAATACAAATTAAGACATAGTAAAACTTTCATATTAAAAGTTCTCACCTTCGATCGTCTCCGAATTGCGAATAACTGATCGCAATGGCCTTGTGTAACCAACAAGACGCATCTACGGCCGCCACGAGACCTTTAAAACTGTCTAAATAGCTGTTTTCAGTGACGTCTTTCAGAAAAGGAAGCAAGGTTTTAATTCCCATTCTATTGTCTCTGTATGTGCCAAGAGCTCGCTGAGATGTTCACTCGCTGGTGTCAAGCGGGAAATGAGCGCCGCCACATTTTTACCACATTTTTACCCATCACGTATTGCGGGTCGTGACGCACACCGCCTGAACTTAACGCATAAACTGTCAGCGTGAACAGTGCAAGACTTCATGAAACACAAACATCAAATACAATAATTACTTAGGCTTACCATTCGAGATTCAGTTCCTGAAAGCTATCAAGGGAACCACAGTTGCTTGAGACTTTTAAACCCTCTTACGCATTAAGCAAGGTGAAAAACGAAAACGATGCCATCCGAAATCGAATTACCGAATTTTGACAAGCGACGCATTTCTCAACCAAAACCCGGCAAACAAACCAGCCATGAATAACAGAAGACTCTTGATAGCAGCTGTATTTCATTTTTTACCTCCAGAGGAAAAAGACAGTTAAAAACATCACAAGTTGACACAAAACTCTGTCAGCTTCAGCTGTCAAAGTAAACTACTTTCAAGATGCTGCATAATTTTTCCGCATAAACTCACCTGTCAAATTTTGACCAATCAGAGCATAAAAATTGGACGTAGAGCGTGACCAACGCGTGACCATGGTAAGATAAGGTCTTCCCCGCCTGTACTTTTAAAAAAACTGGATGAATTTTCGCTTCCGAGGTCAGTTTGAAATCAAAATCCTAATAGTGCGGGGCCATAGTGACATAAACACAACATATTTGATATGAATCCTTGGAAAAAATAAACTTGAGCCTGCGATCATTTGAAACTGGTAATTTGTCAGCGGATAACTTTAAAAAAATACTCGACCTCGATGGGTCGATACTTGAGCCCGCGGTACGGCCAGGTGATACTTGTCAGCGGATGCCCTGTTTTGATAGCTGTCAATTGATCACAACATTGATGTGCAGCCTGTGCAATTAGTTTTCTCTTGGGCTCCCAAACTAGCTAAAAGTGTGAGTAAACATTGGTTTTCCTGTGGTGCGGACGGACGGCGGGCGGTCGGTGTACGGTCACGTGATTACCAAATTTTCTGGGATGGGTAGATTTACTTAGCAATGGGGCTCCGCCCACGCGCGCGCGCTTCGCGCGCGCGTGGAGCTCCGCTATAAATACATTAGAATATAATTAAAAGTTTGCTAAACCGTTTCTTTATTTTAAATTCGACGTCTGAAACCAAGTCGCGCTGCGGTCGAGCTACAGTCGAGCCAGCTTAGCACGGCAGTAGCACGACGTTTGAAACACGCCTAAGATATCAAAAAGGAAAACTAAACGTTATTAAAAGGCAAAAATATCATTTTTAGGTCTGTAGGTTTTGCTGACTGGTTTGTGGAATTTAAAAGATATTCAAAATTCGCGCCAAAAGCGTTCTTAAAATAGACTGGTCCGTAAAAACGCCATGATACGACCGTATGGAAGTTGCTCGCTCTGGGTTATGGGCTCCTGCTTCTACTGTTTATTTAAGCCCCCGTCCACACTTTTTCGGATATTTTTGAAAACGGACATTTTTTTCGTCGTTATAGCCTTCCAACCGCAAGTAAACGGCATTTTCGGGCACCATAAAGGGCAAATTTTTAAAACGCGGGGTCCCAGAGGTGAGATTTTTGAAGACGCCGGCTTCTCGTTCACGTTTAGATGAACCAAAACGGAGGTTTTCGGGTACAATGATCTCATACATCATGTGCTCGTAGCATTACGCATGCTCTGTAGAGGATGCTATCGTATTTCCATCTTTTTATAATTTAGCGTTTTCAAGTGGATACGCAAATACGCAACATGCGACATATGTTGGCGTATTTTTTCGAAAATATCCGTTTTCAGAAATATCTGGATTTGAGTGGAAAGGCCTATGGTTTGACCATACACTAAAAACTGTATTCTAATAAAAACAGTAAGCCTGGACAGGAGTGTCAGTAAATCTCACACTTTTCTTTCTATAACTTCTGTAAGACCAATCTAGCAGGTAAAAACTTTTATTAATTTCACGTAGTGATTATATGTACAGACGCAAGTCTAATACTACGCGAGATGAGAGGTATTTTAATATGTTAGGCTTAAGTAACTTTTATCTTTATTGCTTTTGAAATACGAAATTACGCCTCAAGAAAACATTTCGCTTTTAATTAGGGTCTTAGGTCTGGATGCGGAAAACTGGCGTTTCTACATACTCAGCCAAAGGGCGCCTTTAATCCAACATGAATGTAATTTCTGGTTACTCTTCTTCTTTTTTTATTATTCAGCTTTAAAACTTTTTGCATTTCAGTCTCTAAGCCGATAAACTCAGAGCGTGAGAGACAAAGAAATTGGCTTTGTGGCAGATGTTGTCTCTTATTTAAACTGTCAATAAACTATTTGCTAATTTTAAATGAAGATATGATCGTCGATGTTGTCATTGCAATTTAAGCAATTGCAAATAAACCCGAAGAAAATGTCGGGACTTCAACGGGATTTGAACCCCCCGCCTCTAGGTTAGTGCTGCATTGCTCTACCATTTGAGCTATAAAGATCCATACATATTTACCATTTGCTGCTCTTGTATTGCCATCTTCGCGTTGGTTATAATTATGCTAAAAGGGTTTATTCCGTTTCGTTTAATTCTGTGGCAATCCGTCTTTCCTTTTACTGGTTAACATGCAGGTATTGAGGCACTAACGTTATCCTAAGGAAAAATTTTGCCGTAGTGGAAAATGACCCAAGATGTTCGATTATACATTCAGTGAACTGTTTTTAAATATATATCCACTCATCCACCCCAGGGGTAGCCTCCCTCGCAGCCGTTTTTTTAGTGTCGTCACGCAACGTTCCTCCCCCACTCCACATGAGAATGATTATTACACTAGAGACGTAGAGACTCTTTCACTCTCTGAAATTTGGGCAAGAGTTTGGGGAACTTGGGACAGAATTTCATCATGCGTTTTTGTAGCTGGTCTTGTCTAGTCTCACTATACGAGACGGGTGCAAAACGCATTACAGATCCGATAAAGTTATCTTTTCTGCAGTTTGTCTTTCTTTTCCTGATCCAAATGAAAGGGTTGGGATATCATTAGTTCATTAGTTAGTTGTTGATATCAGTAGATATGCCGGAAAGGGTAGGGGGATCTTTTATTTCGGTCTGTAAAGGACCAAAAGGGCTAAAAGACAGATTTTGTGGATGAGAAAGAGACAAACAAACTTCTTGGTTTAGTGATTTGTTTATGTTAAAACCAAGGTGTATTAACAGCAGTTACATAGGATACAGAATTCTGAAGTAGGTATGTGAAAGGGCTACTATTTTTCAGTCATAATGTTATATAAAAGGGTGAGGGGTTAGACTTCGAGTCGGAACCTCCCCGGTTAAACTTCGTTGAGTGTCCCCTTCCGAGATCCACCCTCCTTGTTCACTGTTAGCTTGCACAGAAACGATTTTGCTACTTAAGCTACCCCTACTATAGAGTACACAGATGAACCCTCCAGAACGGCCACGTTAGGCAAAGAAGAAAGTGGAGGTGTAGAAAAGTGGCCGCTGTAGAGAGGTTTAAACAAGGGTTAATGTATGGACTGTCCGCCCAAAAAAGTGGTTGTTATGGAGAGGTGGCCGTTAGTGAAGGTTCGGCTGTAGCTTGACTGCGCGCATGATGCTTTTTGCGCCTATTTGCATTGTAACACAATCAAACTAATAATAATAATAATAATAATAATTAATGTGATAATGGCGTGAGCTCGTTAATTTAGTTTAGTAGACGTGAACCGTTTTTTAATTGAATTTTTTTTCTAAATACATGATATATTTTTGATGGAATGAATTTTTTTAATCGAAAAATCGTCTCTCTGAAATAGCGAAGAGCCAGCCCCATGCGGCGTATATTGCTTTCACAAAAGGCTACAAGTCAAAGTTCACCTACTTCATGCGCACGATTGAATCGTTTGAAGTCTATGTCGATCCAATCCAGGAAGTGATTGAAGATTTACTACTCCCAACTTTGTTCGGTCAATCAGAGCCTCTCCCTAACGAGGTGCGCAGACTTGCTACCTTAGCAACAGGTCAAGGGGGTCTAGGCATTCCTGATCTGGAATCCGAGGCACCGCAGCAGTTTGCTGCCTCGAGACTAATAACCACCGCGCACGTAGATTCTATTGCTTCACAGAGTTCCATCATGGTGCCAGGAGAAATATCTACGGAGGAGCTAAAGAGGCATCAACAATCACTTAAGAGAGCAAGTGCCAAAGAGAAAATGGATAGCATTGATTCAAGCCCCTCCCCAGGCCTGCTGCGTCTGGTTAATCAATCGAGGGACAAGGGCGCAAGTTCTTGGCTGAATGCGATGCCTCTCGCAGACAAAGGTTTAGCCTTCAACAAGCAAGAGTTCAGAGACTCGCTACGCTTGCGTTATAACTTGCCCCTAGTCGATTTACCAAGTCATTGCATATGTGGGGATAAATTCCCCGTTAGTCACGCCCTCTCTTGTAAAAAAGGGGGGTTTGTAGCGCAGAGACATGACGGTGTACGGAACTTTCATCGACAAGATGATGTCGAAATCGAACCACGCCTTCAACCCCTGGACAACGAGAGATTTCATTTGAGGAGCGCTGTTACAAGTTCTGAGGCAAGGTTGGACATCAAAGCGGGGAGTTTCTGGGCAAGAGGAGTTACAGCATTTTTTGATGTTAGAGTTACGCACGTCAACTCCAATTGTTACCAGAGCAAGCCAACATCAGAAGTGTTCAAAGAGCAAGAAGAAGAGAAGAAGCGCAAGTACCAGCAGCGGGTGTTAGATGTAGAAATGGGTTCGTTTACGCCTTTAGTGTTTGGAACCAATGGCGGAATGGGAAACGAGTGTCAGCCGTTCTTAAAGCATCTCGCAGACAAGATAGCTCAGAAAGACACCGAGCCTTATCATGTTGTAATCACTTGGCTCAGGACACAGATCTCGTTTGAACTCTTAAGATCGGTACATGCATACGTCAGAGGTTCGCGAACGCCGTTTCGTAGCAAGATAGAGCAATCA